CCATTCAAGATAGTTATTCCTTCCACGCTCAAAAATTCTTAGAGATGTTATTTCACAACCCATGATACCTACATCCATTATTTAAATTATTCTGTGAGAAAAGTCACATGCATTCCAATTTTTAGACCTGATTCCTATTACCATGAGCCAACTTAGCACAGGAAAGAACTGTAGCTACTCATTGGAGTAATAATAATTGCTCTGGAATTCAGTTTAACCATGTATTTCCATTCACTTTTTTGAGGTTTTCTACCTTCTGCTATAAACAGCCCTGTTCTGTCTGGTGCTCTTTTGCTGCACCTTGATTGTCCAAAGATTCTCATCCAAGTTCTGATCCCACTCTTCTGGCCAGTTTTCATTATTTCTGAGTTCTTCTCTGTTGTCCAAACAGGTTCTGTATCTTACCATTTTTCCCTTAATTGAAAATGAAGTTTAGAGTAAATCAGACAAACTGATTATAACAAGCTGTGTAGCATGATTTTTCTTCACACATTACCATATAAGTGGTGACAAACTGGCTCAGAGTCAAGTATCTCTGTGTCATCCAAGATCTGGAACCTCAGTTCTGCTTTTCTTTTTATGTAGGCCCTGGGGAAAACGGGCTCTTACCAGCACAGCTGTGTACCAGCAAGCTAATTTAATCATTGAAGTGTGGAAAGTAAATTTCTAGTAATAAGAATACAACACATCTGTAGAGGACTGTCTTTTTTTTTGAAAAGAAAACATCCTCTTGGACTTACATTTAATGGAAAATGAGAATGAAGTCTTATTATTTTCTTCCTTTTGCAGATTAGAAAACTGAGGCTCAGACAGGTGAAGTAATTTATCCAAGCTCTCCTCTAGGAAGTGGCTGAGTTCTGGCGTGGATCTCTGTGTAGCTTCAAAACTGTGCCCTTAATTCCATGCTATAGCTGCTAAAAGTCAGAAAAGTTCATATAATAAAAAGCCTTGAACATGGTTACCAGAGGTGGAGGGCAGGAAATTGGAGAAAAGTGGCAAAAAGGTACAAACTTCAAGTTACACAACAAATAAGTCCTAGGGATGTAGCATACATCATGGTGACTATAGTTAACACTCTTGTATGATATATATGAAAGTTAAGAGAGTAAATCCTGAGTTCTTATCACAAGAGAAAAATTTTGTTTTCTTTCTCATTTTATTGTATCTATAAGAGATGATGGATGCTAACCAAACTTATTGCAGTAATCATTTCACAATATATGTAAGTCAAACCATTATACCATACAACTTAAACTTATACAATGATGCATGTCAATTATGTCTCAATAAAACTGGAAAAAATTCAATTGAAAGAAAGAAAACACTTCCTAATATGAAGAGAGGTGGTCTATGAATGATCTAGACCAAGAATTGATACATTTATTTTCTTTGTTATACCTCCTTCAAAAACAGGGTTTTCTATCAGAATACATGTTTTAACGCTGTTTAGCTTTTTTGTGTGTGTGTGAGGAAGATCAGCCCTGAGCTAACATCCATGCCAATCCTCCTCTTTTTGCTGAGGAAGACTGGCTCTGAGCTAACATCTACTGCCAATCCTCCTCCTTTTTTTCCCCAAAGCCCCAGTAGATAGTTGCATGTCATAGTTGCACATCCTTCTAGTTGCTGTATGTGGGACGCAGTCTCAGCATGGCCGGAGAAGCGGTGCATCGGTGTGCGCCCGGGATCCGAACCTGGGTCACCAGTAGTGGAGCGCGCACACTCAACCGCTAAGCCACGGGGCTGGCCCCTGTTTAGCTTTGGATACCAGTTTAACCATAGCTTAAATAATCTTCATTTGATTGAGAAGAATATTCATTCATTCTTTCATTATTAAGTATAATGTACCATCTTCCATGTTGATTTCTCATATGTTAATCTAAATATGTAAGGAAATATTTCTATTTTGGCCGAGCTTCACACTCAGAGATGAGCATAAGACGATTCTAATGATTTTCTACCACAAAAACTCATTTTGTCTTTTAAGAAAGGTAGGGATTGTATAGATAAGTAACTATCTTTCTTCTATAAAGATTTCCTGTTGGTTCAGAAAAGGACTGATGCGTGCTCAGAGTTTTTCAAAGTATAATTTTCAAAAAACTGACATGTTTGAGTCTCATACAAATATACGGAGGGCAAGTGTCAAAGACTGACCTGACTTATTAATGAGAGATCCAGCAGAATTGTAAAGCTGGTCCAAAAGAGAACAGGAAAGACTGCTAAATATAGTTAGTGAATTAAAAAAATGCTGAAATAAAATGAAGTTAGATATAAAATTGGTTGATGTTCTACAGGGCAATAAAACTATAACCTTTCGAGTTATCTTTCTACTTGGTAAAAATCATTTGCATCACTTCTGAACAAAAATCATTTGCAACTTGCCTCTTTTTTTTTTTTTTTGCAATTTAACATCTAATTTCAGAATCTGGGCCTAATCAATAGTAAATAGTAAATTTAAAAAATGCATTCTTCCAGAGGATTAGATAATCTTTGGGAGGAACTGTTAGACAATGCTCCATTATATCATTGAAAGGACATGCAGTCATCAATTTGCCTTATTTTCAAGTTAAGGTAATTTTTCATACTACTCTACCCTGTAAAACAAAAATAGTACTTTTCTAATACTATGTGTCAACCCTTTGTATGCAATATTTCATTTAGTTCTCGAATGAATATCAATAAGCATTTTTATGAAACCCTGATTATTTCCTTGGGAAAAATTCTTATGAGTATAAACTTGAATAAAAGAGGTTGAAATATTTTGAAAGTTATTGATGTACATAGCCAAATTCATTTTCACAAGAAATATGCCAATCTGTACTACTCATATAGAGTAGTATACTCTGACCATCAGACAGAGTTGAGCATCATTTTAAAAATCATGCAATTTGGCAATAAGAAATCTCATTTCAATTTACCTATACAAAATCTGGTTACTAGTGAAGTTATTTTTTAAAATATGATTTTGTTATTTTCTTTTAAAATTGTTACTTGCTTATTTTTCTATTTAAATATTAGTGCCCATGTTTTTGATTCCTTTCAGCTTTTAATATCTGAGGGACATTACCCTTTGTGTTTAATTCTTACACATCAAAGAGCTTGTCATGAATAGTATTAATAGAATATTTTATGTGAGGAAGAATAACAACCTAAATGAGACTCATTTGTGCTTACTCGAAACTCAATTTAAGATTATGCTAATAAAGATGTAATGTTTCCTCTTGTTCCACTGAAACTCTTTTATTGAAAAATGTTTTATATGAAAACTACATATACAAATAATGTTAATAAGGGCGTAGAACCGAAACTACAGGAGACGCAGGGATATTCGTGAATGCAAAACTCTTTGCAAATTGACTGCAGTCATTACGTTAATAACGAAATAGTATAGCTTTAGGGGATTGTATTTTGAACAATATTTAGAATAACTGGGCAATCTTCCATTAACAGTTTAAATCGTTTTTTGTGATGTGCTTGTAAAATAAAATCAAGAACTGAAACTGAAGAATACCCAAGATTATGTTGCATGTACAGTGTGTATGTGATATATACACATCACATAACATATAAAACATGTCATTATTACTTTTGATGTTTTAAAGGTTTTCTCTGGTACCACTAACCTAGATCCATTTAAAAGATGGGTATATTTTTAAAAATTATCTCATCTTCCAGGAATACAAAAAAGGTAACTGAATTAAAGCATTGGCTATTGTAATGTTTTCTATTTGTAACAATTCGGGATACATAAATACAGGGCGTATATGTAATATTTACGTACAATTATAAACAATAAATAACAAATTTTAAATTCAATAGTGTCATATAAAATACGTACATGTGTATATATAGAGAAATAAAGATGTATACAACATAGAAGACTAGAGAAGAATTATGATAGTAAATAATGGAAAAAATGATTTTTTTGAGCTCTCTAGAATACTGAATAAATCATAATGCATAAATCAGAGCATATAAAAATTACGGAAACCTTTGAGATCACTTTTTTTGTTTGCTGTTGTTGGGGGTGGGGGCGGCCTCCCAAAGAGAGTGCGAGCCGTTCATGGCTTTGCCAGAGTCCGGAGATCCACTAGCCTGAAGTGTGCTTCTGAGAGAACCCACAGTCCTGTGATTTCTTTTTCGTCTCTCCCTCCCTCCCTCTGCTGCCCAAGCCAATGATTAGAAGCGTGGCAGGGAGTAGGGGTGCGGGGGAGGGGGTGCGAGGGCAAGAGGGGAGTTGGTGGGGCGCAACCGTAGAAGAAATCCTGGGAGAATTCTAGGGGCCCTCGCCTTTGCACAGCACTGTTCCTCGGCGTCGCGGGAGCAGGGGCGCTCAGACCGCGGGCGCCCGGCCGCCCGCCCCCGCGTCCCCCGCCAGCTCTGCCCGGCTGCCCGGCTCGTGAGTTCCAGCTCGCGTGGGAGCCACTGCACACTTCGAGTTCCACGCGGTCCTCTCTCACGTTACTACTCGAGGGGCGGGAGCAAACAGTTGGCTCTCCCTTCAAACTCCCACGGCCCCAAAGGCCCAGTAAATGCCACAGATGGGGCAGGGGTCGGTGTAAACGCCGTGGGAGTTAGACCCCAAACCCCGGCCGGTTCCTATGCCAATGCGGGGATCAGTCAGCCCTGGAGCCCCTGGGTCCTTCAGATCCTTCAGCTTTGGGAAGACGAAGCGCGTGGGGAGTGGCGCTGGGGGAAGCTCTTAGGCTCATGAACTCGGGGGCTCAGATTCCCAGGGGTCTGAGCCGCCTCCATCCGGCCTCCAGCTTCGCTCCTCGTCAGCGTATTTACAGCACTGACCCCCCGGGCAGGGGGTGTGTGTGGAATCGCTAAGCAGAGATCGTGGCCCTGACTCCTGCTCGCCACGATCAGGTTACTTTTCACAGATCGGAGCTGGCTGGGAGGTGGGAGTATTTACTTTTACTCCTTTTCTGTGTTCAGTTCACCTTGTGGGGTTGGTTGTGGAAAGCGGGGGAGGGGGAGTTCCCAAATCTAGTGAAATTTCCATTCCATGGGTATAACCATGCCTGTGGGGTTGGCAGTTCTTAAAGTTTAGCAAGTCTGCGAGTAACTACAGAACACAATAGAGTCCCCCTCCCTTCCTCTCTCTTTTTTTTCTTTTCCTGCTTCCAAATGCCTTCTTCGAGGCTGAAGCTGGGCTGGTCTCCAAAGGTGTAGCAGCCACAACAATCCCGCAGTTCAAAGTTAAGCAGCAGTTGCACAACTCCCAGCAGCTCTCTTGCCGGCTACTAATGAGCTGAAAGCCAGGAACGTCTGAGGAGGTGAAGAGGAAGCTCCCAGTCCTCCCCCTCTTCACCCTAGAAATCCAGACATCCCCGCCCCCCACCCTCAGATAACTTTGAGATAGGGTCCTTGCTGTTGGCTTGCCTGGCGGACCATGGCTCCCTTTGGAAGAAACTTGCTCAAGACCCGGCATAAAAACAGGTAAGGTCCTGCGTGTGTGTACTTGGGAGCTTATGTGTGAAAGTAGGTGTTCTGATCCAGTTAGATTCTAATTAGATTTGCTCTCGGGGTACAAAGCCCTGCGGAGTTAGGTCTTGTATTTATACTCAACTGGTGAGGACGTTGTTCCAGTAACGGTGATTCAGGGGCCAGCGCAAGGATGGCTGAAAATAAAGAACGATTGACTCCTTTTTTTTTTCCCCTTTGGCCAGTCCTGGTTCCCCAACTAGCATCCCCCAAATCTCTCTTTGTGTTGCCTTGCATATTTGAGAGTAGTGGGAAAGCAAGTTTCATTTTGCTTCAGACAGAATTTTAGTATATTATAGGAAGAGTGGAAATTTTGATGAAGATATAACTAGAATTTATTAGCCACTAATTAGAACGAAAAACACCGCTGCTGATACAATCCGGAAACAATGCTCTGGCCCCCCCTAGAGTGGGGCATCCCTGAAACCTGGAAAGTTCCCAAAGTGAAAATACTCTGTAGAGAAACTTTTTGTGAGCTGAATCTTTCGAAAATCTTTGAGAACTTTAGGTGGTTTTAGGCACTAAAGGAGAATTTAAGCAGCTGTCCTCCTTAATCCTTATTATCACTATTTTACTTTGATTTGCTTTGCTGTTTCAAGCCTGCAATGCCCGTGGTGTAAGAAAATGTATTTCACACACACACACACACACACACACACATTTTTCTTGAGCCAGTATGTATGTTTCAGCCCTATTAAATATTTTATTAACACCTCGAATGTTAACTTTTATGCCAAAAACTGTGAGGATAATTTTAAACACAGGCTTTACTTTTTAAAATATATTTATTTTGGTAGAAAGGCTTTTCCACAACTCTTAATCATGCCTGTTTGTACTTGTTGTAATTTACTTAGTGTAATTTTAAAAGCACACAATTACATGGTAGGAAATGATGTAATTATTTTAGTGTCTGCACGACAATGTAGAGTGATATAGTTTTCAAGTAAATCTCCACACTTTATTTTGTGCATGAATGTCTTCTTGAAAAATTCTATTTTTAACTTATTCCAAATGTTTTCATGATTTAGTTGACTAAGTATGCTTAAAAAACTAAAACAGTAAAAATCAATACTATAAACCATTCTAAACCAGTTTTATTTGCTAATGACCTGATAATATATCATAAATATGGTATTTCTGATAATTAGTGAAACTATATGTTAAAACAAAGAAATGTGTTTGGGTATTCTTTAAAAATATGTTAGTGAAGGTTATCAAAAATGTTTGTATTTTAGTGGTGTCAATGCATTAAAAAATATTCCAGAAGACTCCCCTTGGCAAAAGAAAATCCTTACTATGTTTTAAAATGACTATTCAGTAGCATTATTTTTGAAGTATGTTTGTTTAAATGCTGGTGAAATTGTATAAAGATTTACTTTGGGAAAGTTCATGGTTTTATAAAACAAGTTATGTTTCTAGCATAATGATCTTTCTGGATACTACCCCTGCCATTTAGAGTTGTCGTGCGCGCATGTGTGTTACTTCTGTTTTTTATAATTATTAATTCAGGAATTCTGTCATTGTATGCCAAATAACAGTGCAATAAATCTTTGCGTGCACTCCTCTGGGTTTCCCTCAGGGAAGTACATGTCCACTTCCACTACTGAAATTCTGCCACTGCGCCATCTACTCTACCCGTAAAACTAGCTTTCATTCAAGGAGGTGAGTATACAAACATTTTTTAATATGGCATTTTCTATGAAAAATTATGAAAAAGTGGAAAGAAAGAACAATAAAAATGGGGAGTTTAATAGTATTTTAGGTTTCTCTGAGAAAATGGAATGGTTCCCCCAAAGGTGATGCTTTATTATAAACGTGTTTTGGCCAAGGTGGTCATAGTGAGGATGTGTGTAAGTTGCTCTAAAAACTGAGTGTTTCCCTTTACAGATTTGTATTTTTCCAATCCTTAAGAAAAATTTAAACCACAGCAGTTGTCAGGGACGTAAAAATACGGGTATTTTAAACTAAGCAGTAAGTAAGCCACATGATATATTGAAATAGAATTAATGTATATTTATTTTTTTCAGTGCTTAATATTGCTATAGATGAGGTATTTTTGTTTTATTCTGTTGTGTTTTTCCACCTTCGCAAAGGTGAAACTACAGGTGAAACTTAGTTACATGATTAAGTTGATCTATTTCGTTTACCAGGTTCCATAATGATTTAAATAATCCTACTCGAATCTATAGAAACCAAATATCTTTCCTTAAATGACGAATGATTCATCTTTTGATAGAAAATGTGACTGATGATAAAACAGTTATCTGATAACAGCCAATGTATTGCAAATATATAGTGTAAAATTCCTTGTAGACTGTAAAGGAAGAATTTGAGCAATACATTTGTATACCTTATGGTATATAGTTTATACACTAAAAGAACTACTTGAACATGATTTCATCCTTGTCAGCAGGAAAAATGTGGACTACTAGAAGGAATATTAGGAATTTGAGATCATAAAATTTTGAGAAAGTTTGCTTATTGATCTTTTCTGCATCCTATTCTTTCTGTCTTTTCATTTTTGTTCACTCTTAGAGTGATATTTAGTCACCCAAGATTGAACCTCCTGAGATAGTTCTGTAAATATTCTCATAATACATGGATACTTGAGAGTTTTAGAGATAAACAGGACACAAATGAAACTTCAAAGTATGAGGCATAAAGACTTTTAGAAAACACGACTGTAAAGCTTGGAGAGGGCAGGGCCGTATCTGTCTAGTCACCACCTTGTTCTCACGCCCAGGGCAGTGCCTGGCGTGTGATGGACATGGAATACAGTTGTTTATATAATTTTGTAAACTAAAATTATAATTTGTACTCAAACTAAAAACATAGTAATAATTTTATCATCTGTTTATCATCTGATGTCAGCTGGTATTATATAAAAGTGAAAACTTTATAAAGGATTGATTGACATTTGATATAATCCAAAACCCAGAAGGTAGACAAATAATTATATGAATTTGGACACCAAGCTAATCCTAACCTACCAGATCATCTTTTTCTAAATTTTAAGAAGCATTTAATTCAAAAATTTGAGAAACAATCTTCACGAAATTTCAGAATACTACATGGTCACAAAATGATTGTATTTGGACACACAAACTTTTTATGCTTTTCATTTCTAACTTTCACATGAATAAAAGAAATGGAGCCAATCTAAAATCCTTTGTGTTTACAATCAGAATGATCTTTTTAAATTTTCTAATTGTAGTAACATTTAGTAGGAAGAGCAGTTTTCAGAAGACCTTTTGGTCTCCGGAGATGGATGGTTTATTTTGGTTCCAGAATAAGAGTGTTCTGTGATTGAATCCCAAAGAATGGTATCTTCCTATGCAGCTTTTGGTTCAACATGAAGAATGAAAATGTTAGAAAGTCTAGGTATTTTCTTCTCAACAAACAATTCAAGTTGCTGAAAACGTTTTCTAAAAGTCACTAGGTAGCTGTTGTTTCTCATATAAAGGCCAGAGAAGCAAATAATGAAGCATGACTTCACTTGATACTCACAGGGACATTCAAAAATTCAATTTAGATTGTTAACATATTCAAATACATATTCACATAGGTTCCATTTGTGAATGTGATTATCTTTATATTAGATTTTATTTTCAAGATAATGATTGTTTTAAAAGCTAGTGCTTCTGAATAGCAATCAGCAACTCATAAAGGTTCAGGAAAACGAAATGTCACTATAAATTATAGCTTTTGGGGAAACTTGGTTGTGAGTTATGATTCCTTGGTGTTTTAATTAATAAAATTTGGGGGCAGAGAATTGGTAGGACCTTTTACCAAACCTTGCTAAAAGCAGAAAATTGCTATAGTAAAGCAGTAGCCCATATATTTGTCAGAAATATAAAATTAGAATTGTTCATTTAGGTGATTTGTAAGAGAAAAGGAAATTAACAATGAATATTACAGAATCTAATCTAGTTAATAAGGCCTTTATAATTATTGTTAAGTACTATTCAGTTGGCTATGGCTTTCCCTATACCAATGGGTATTTGTCTATCCATTCACACGTGATGACAGACATTGTCATAATATCAACTTGAAATTAAAAGGCTTCAAAATATAATTTTGTAATAAATATATTAGAAGTAAATAATACAGCTCTATTGTTTTATAATTGATGCATAAAATTTGCATTAAAATTTGCTTTTGTATTAATTAGAACATATCTGGGCAAGTTGATTAAAACCAGGTGCTTTATATTGCTCCCATAAATACATCATGCCACAAATGCTTTCTCAGAAGGAAGAATTAAGTTTTATGATTAAAGTTGCTGGCAAGATAGATGTTTGCTCTTTGTCATTAGAAGTATGGTGATTTATGAATTTTGCAGAATAGGAAATTATCATGTAGTGTTTTGTTTAACCTGTAGTAAATATTTGAAATGTTCCCAAAATTGGATTGAGAAATGCCAGATATTTGAGTATGTACATTTGAGTATGTACATTTTCTTAGTTCCCAGGAGTTCCCGAGATTTCCCCTGATGATACCTGGTAACTTAAGTAGTTATTAGTTGGCAGCAGACAGCCCATTAAGAACAATGACTGGAATGCTCTCTTCCTGGCAAAAATATCCTGAGAACATTGGCAGCGGTGAAATTGAGCTCTAGGTTAAATCTTGAATTGTTACTCAAACAATTATAAGCCCAACTTAAAATCCACTACATAAGATGTTTTATTATGTACAGTACCAATTCAGGAAACATGTCAAGGTGAAAAGTTCTTAAATGGACTTTTTGGGAAAAAAAGCTTTTAAAAGTTTGTAGCTGGTTAACAAGTGTGTTTACATAACATCTTTATTAGCTGGGCTGCATAGCTTAGAAAGTTTTAATGTTATTTGATTGGTATGTAGTTCCAGGAGATCTGATAATAGCTCTAAGTAATTTTCAAAAGTGTGGCTCTCTCCTTTTGGTTTTAGTTCTGAACATGGAAGAAAGTTGAAGTAGG